GCGTGAGGGGAAGATCTGACATCTGCCATTGTGTCTTCATGAACCAACTTCAGCTGAGTCCAACTTAGTAGATGTGCTACGGCACCCGAGACTACCAGCTAGACAAAGACCAAAGACCCGATACGCTAAACTCCGAACTGCTTAACCAGTGCACTGGTAGTCGTAGTTCATGCGAGATGCCTCCGTATCCTTCGGAACCCAAATCGTAACCTTTTGTCCACTCGACTCAAGCGTACCTTCGTACTCATCAAAGAACGGGCGCCAGTACACCTGACCGGTGCCCCCCTCACAATCGATGTTGATCGTGACAGCCACAGTGTTGGTCATGGTAGTCTCGAAGCTAGCAGAAACGCCAATCTCTGCACTGATAGCGTCCCATGCGCTTGCACCCAGAGTCAAAGATGAAGTGATGGAGAAGGTCTCCGACTTGGAAGTTGTGACTTCGTAAGCACCAGCGTTGGGAACTTGGGCAACGAAGACGGCGGAGCCGGGCTTGTAGACATTGATTCGCGTGACTACGTCTGAGAAGCGGTCGGCTTGCTGTGTTTCATGCGGTTAGCTCTGTGGATAGGGTGGAAATGTTATATCGAGATACGTACTCGGGTTTCCAATTCATCCGCCTCTGCACCCAAGGTTTGCATCTGAACTTTGTTCTCTTCGGTAGACATCTCCTCATAAACGAGGCTTGCAGGCAGACGGCGCCAATCCGTGTTGAGCCTGATAGCAACCTCGGACCAGGGTTCAGGAGGTGGAGTGGATTGGTAGCCGCCAGTGTCGGAGCTCTTGCACTCGGACTCAATGTTTCTAGCTCTACCGCCCCAGGTCGATGCAGGGTTGCAAATCTCGAAATTTTCGTTGTTGCAGAACGAAATGCGGCAGTTGCCCTCGGTCCAGACACGGCAAGCTCTGGGATTGAGGCAGACGCTCCGGTTTGGATCAACTTCGCCAAAGTACGAGTTGCCATCCATGATGGTGCTGCCTGTGAAACAAAAACGAAATCGATTAGGCTGCGTTCGAACGGTGACAAGATCTGAGAATCAGAAAGAGGGGTAAGAACTTACAATCACCCCAGTTTGGCTGCAGCCTTGACTCGCAAAAGATGCCACCAGTTTGCTCTCCGTCCCAGTCCTCCTGGCGAGCCATGAGACGAGAGGGAGCTGCCATAGCTGGATGAGGGGTCAAAGCCGCAAGCAGCGGCAAGAACGTAAGGTACTGCATCTTCTGATATTCGAAGAGAAGTTTTGCTTGATGATGAAGGAATTGACTGAAGAACTGATTGCTGGCTGTGATGATGACAACTGAACAAACCCATTCGACTCTTTATACTTTCTGACTTCCACTCTGCTTCTCTTTTTCACAACTCTCACATCGAGACCGTTTGTTAGCTCTACCATCCGTGTTTTCCGGTCAAGCGTGTCACTTATTGATTGTCTCAAACAGCATCGTCGTTCTGTATGGCTAGCAGAGCTAGGAATCATGTTCGACGTCACTGTTGAGTTTGGTCGATGGCTGAGATCAATCCTTCGTTTCGTGTCAGGCCAGCACCCAAGCTTTCTGGTGCTACCAAAAAGCCTGAACGGGGAATGATAATGGGGCCAGTTGAGGATCCGATATGCCCTGCCTGACAATAGGGTACACTTACACACAGACAGTGCTTCAAGCGTCTATTCGTGCTTTCCTTATTAAAGAATCAGATATATTTTCCATCTTGAAACAAGAACAGATAGAAGATAGATCAGTTAGTGGCAATAGCAGGCAAATTTTGCAAGTCCTCTACTGTATCTACACCTGTAAAGGAGGAACACTAAATGAACCAGATAGCGGTGCCTCAGTCATTACAGATCCATAACAATAATAACACACAGTATCAAGGCAGTGCATCAACTGGCACGGTAATATGGTGTAGATCCTACGATATTCCTCACGATCTCGATGAAACGGTACGTAAAAGGCTCACAAAAGTCTGTCCCTACGTCATGGGGGCCTAATCCAGAGTGAAATCTGCCAAGGGCCAAGGGCCAAGTATCTCAATCTGTACACACTGAGCCATATTGCCAAGTTAGAATGCCTGTTATTTCCTATTCACATCCTCGATCATAGCAGATATGTGGAGTAATATGCCAAGGTGTACTCTTTTAGTAACAGGCGGGCTCGTTGTGACCATTCACGTCCATTCGCTAGTTCGGGTAACGGCACCTTCCGCGCACCTTGATGGACAGCTAGGGCGTAAGCGAGGCGCCTCCTGATGGAGCCTAACTGAACAGCACCATTCACTGGTTCTCACAGACTGTAGTATGCTTCGCCTCTTCGCCAACCCCGATGGAACACTTCCACGTCATGTGGCATCTGAGATGTGGCTAAGATATACAACAATATGGACGCCCCGTAAGCAGGGAGGAATCCCTACTCAGTGTTCCAGTACTTCATACCATACTACTCCTTTTCTCTGTTATGTTTGTTAAGATGATCAACGTCGTTTTGCTATTCGTAGCACACCTACTATTTTCCACATCGGCTCATGCCCAGGTCTTCAACGACTCATCAGTGCAAAACTGCAGTGGCCCTATCCAAGTCATAGCCCGTGACGATTTTCCTATCAACTCGACCGGCACAGCTCGTTTAGCTCAGGGGTCGGCACGTGAGCCCTGGTATGTCAGTCTTACCATAACCGATAGGCGCGAGCCAGGCATCGTCTATGGCGACAGTATAACCTGGCAACAGTTGGAGGGTTTCCTGAGTGTTCCAAGTTCGTTAGTGGGGAGTCAACAAAACAATCAGACTGAATACTGTATGTTCATGCTTCCACCGCGAGACTCTTCATCGCAGGAGGAAGCTGGAGATTGTACCAGTGTGTTGAGCGACGAGTGCATGAGATCCCTGGTACATAACACCCCGTCCATGTGGGACGGCCGTTGTCATAAACCAAGCGATGTCGAAGAGGCTTGTGGAACACACGTTCCATTGGTATCACGTACGTTCTTTCTAGTTGACTTCTTCCTTACGGGGCATTCTATTTCAACCCACTTGTATACGAACTCTTTCTAACAATGCAAAAGATTCCCCATCAAATTTCTCCAGTACCGATTGCACTTTGACTGGGCTTCCCCATATTGACTTGCCAGAAGGTTATCGAACCTACGGTGATTTGCCTGTGGCTGTGTATGGCGGTGGAAATGATCGCGAGAATTTCGACTTGTATGATAAGAATGTTCGCCAAGTGGTACCTATGCTCTTCACAATCAAGTCTCCAGACGGTACTGTTGAGAACAAGGCAGTTTGTCTAGCTCCAGACAATGTCCTTGAGGGTAGCCGTATTCCAGAATCTACTGCAGCCCGCTCGAGCTCTGCGCATGCATTTGAAGCAGCACTCATGGCGATGGCTGTTGTGTTTCTTCTATCCATAGCTTAGAAGACGAATAGCACAACGTTGCCCCAATTATATGCGCTTCACATCTTTTCTGCCGCAATATTCATGGCTTTTGTAACTTTCTGAGCGATATCGATGCTGTTTACCAATGATGCGTAGAAATGTCTTCGCAGAACTCGTACAAAGCCGACCCCAAGCTCCGCTATCTCCGACCCCTCCGTCGTCATCATCGCGGAACCGATTCCGAGCCCTGCATCATAATCTTCCGAACCCCATCTCACCAAGCACAAACGCACCCAACATCCCGTAGACCTCCAGCCAAAAAAAAAATGGTGTTCGCTCGACTTCCGCGGACGCTGACCCCACGTGCCATCCGCGCCTTCTCAACCACACGCCTGCGCTTCCAATCCTCATCCATACTATACACACCAACATGTCCCTCGCCAACATGCGAATGCGCCTCTGCGCCGAAAGACCTCGACATCGATCGCAAGACACCGCTGCTGAACACAATGGCCCCGTACTCAGAACAAGTCGTGTTCTGCACGGGAAAAGACGATTGGGCCAGCAACATTGAGCAAGAAGAAGGCGAAACGGGCGAGTTCGTCAAAGGACTAAAAGGTGTGATAGGAAAAGGTGCACCGGGATTCGATGTAGGTTCGTTTTGACAATCCTGTACTTTCTCTCCAAAAAACCCCCCGAACAGAAACACTAACAAAATATCTCCAGCCCTTCACAAACGTTCTCATAACCGCCTCCTCCCTCCCCAAAAGCACCGCACCCAACACAACAACAGCCCTCCTCTTCCCTAGTTTCAAGCGTATCCAAAACCTCCCACACACCCATACTTCCCTCTCCGACTTCGCAACCGCATACCTCAAAGCCAAAACCCTCCACCCCATGCACGCCAACCTGTCCGCAGCACAAAAAGCCAACCTAACCCGCGACGAATCAAAAGCAGCATCCCTCCCAGAAGCTCAGGAAATAACAACCCCCACAATCTTCATCTGCGGTCACGGCGGCCGCGACCAGCGCTGCGGCATCCTCGGCCCACTTTTGCAATCCGCATTTCGCAGCGAATTCCAGCGCAGAGGGCTAGATGCAGATGTGGGACTCATAAGTCACATTGGGGGCCACAAGTACGCGGGAAACGTCATCATGTATGTCCCGCCGAGTATGCAAGGGAATAATGAGCTTGGTGGGGCGGGTGTGTGGTATGGACGTGTGGGACCGGAGCATGTTGAGGGGTTGGTGGAGGAGACGTTTGTCAGAGGAAGAGTTGTCACCGAGTTGCTGAGGGGTGGTGTTATGCAGGATGGACGGAATATCGGGAGAATGGTTGAGGCGCAGATGAAGAGGGATAGTGGGGAGGAAGATGAGGGCGTGTTGAAGTTGAAGGCTAGAGCAAGGGGGTAGACGTGCTGGTGTGAATGTAGATGGTTGTCAGATTATTGTATAGAAACGATACACTCTGTAGAACATCAAAATAGAGACTTATCTGTGTATTACTGAATGCTTAAATTACCCTGATCTAGCCAAATACTGCAAAAACAAATTTTCTTGTTTCTCCGATAACTCAGAGATCGTTTTTCAGTCCGAAGATACAACCAACCAAAAAGAAAAACGGTTTACTTCAAACATCTATGAGAGAGAAGAATGAAGAAGAGCAAAAAAAGAAAACGTACAAGCCCGACGTGGGGGTCGAACCCACAACCTTGAGATGTACTGAGTAATCGTGTCTGTTAGACCGTGAAAGACTAAGAGTCTCACGCTCTACCGATTGAGCTAGCCGGGCTATTGCTGTTTCGATGGATAAACTTGAAACTGGAACGAATATCACGGTATTGTTCTCAAATCACGGGAACCATGCGATAATGGTTCTCCCGTTGTTCAATGTCGAATGACGCCGGTATTGGCGGAAGAGAAATTTTCGTTCCGCGGTTCAACGATTACTAGCCCCGCCCACTCACGTCACCTAACGTCCACGTAAAATATAGCGTGAACCAGCACAACGGTACGATTTCTACGCCGGCACCATGCACATTGCTTTCTACTGCATCACATCCAAGAATGTGTCCCTGAAAAGAGATGGTATCATTTCATCGCATATCTATTCGCTCTATAATAAATGCCGCTAATCATTCTGGCTAGTATCGCTTATCTATCATCAAGCAGTCTACAAAGTGCTCTCAAGCGCAAGGACCTGGTTATTCATTAGCATGGTGTACTTGTAGAGAGGATGAGAGATGCGACTTACAATGGCAGTCCTGCTGGGAATGTAAACTTGCAAAAAGTTCTTTCTGTTGTTCCAGGCGAAGGGAGTGGTGAAGAACCTAGTTGATTCATCCACATTTCCGTGGCCACCATAGATCTTGCTATCGGTGCTCAGTACAATCCTGTAGGTGCCCTCCTGCTCCACACCAACACGGTAGTCTGTGAAGCTGTTCTGAGGATGGAAGTTGAAGATCCACAGCAGCCCAGCGCGCTCAAATACAATGACCTTGTCGCCTTCGTGCTTGAGACTGACATAGGCTTGTGGCGAGTGGAGCCAGCCGTACTTCTCCTCGGTCCACTGCATCTTACTGTCAAAGTCGTTCAGGAACTTGTAACGGAGGAGTTCGTCATCTGGGAGGTTGAATTGACGGCGAGCATAGTGGAAGCTGTTGTTGTTGCCTTCACGGGGGAAGTCCAGCCACTCTGGGTGACCAAACTCATTGCCTTCAAAGTTGAGATAACCTTCGCCTCCGAGACCATGAGTGATCAATCGGATCATCTTGTGCAGCGACAGACCCCTGTCAATCACAGGTGTCAACTCGGTGAGCGTTGACATGTTGGTATACATCTGTGCATCGCAGAGCCAGAAGAGAAGTGTCTTGTCTCCCACAAGTCTGTATTGTGTTAGCATACATTTGTAAGTATGTTGAAGTTGACTTACGCTTGGTCGTGGCTCTCGGCATAGGCAATGGTCTTCTCGCCATGACGTCGGTTTGTCAGAGTGAAGACAAGGGCGCCCATGTCCCAGTCAATGTCCTGCTTCTCCTTCAACCACTTGATGTAAAGGTCTGGTACGGCCATGGCTAATCTGTAGTCGAACCCTATGCCACCTAGAGAGAGTGACACACAGAGACCAGGCATACCAGAGACGTCTTCGGCAATCGTGATGGAGTCAGGGTAAAGGGTGTGCAATAGCTCGTTTGCAAGCATCAGATAGACGACTGCCTCTTCGTCTACCGAGTCGCCAAAGTACTCGTGGTAGCCACCAGAGAAGCCCCTGTAAGGGTGTCAGTGTATACAGGAATAGGAAAACTGGCAATACTTACGTTCCGATACCGTGATGGGTGTACAGCATACTGGTGACTCCATCGAATCGGAAACCATCAAAACGGTACTCCTCCATCCAGAAGCGCAAGTTGCTGAGAAGGAAGCGCAGCACCTCATGGTGGCCATAGTTGAACAGTCTGCTGTCCCATAGGTCGTGTCGTCCCTTTGGACCGGAATGGAAGTAAAGATGGTCACTGCCGTCAAACATGTTCAGGCCATCAAGTACGTTCTTGGATGCGTGGCTGTGCACCATATCCAACAACACGGTGATGCCCATGCCGTGTGCAGTGTCAATGAGCTCTTTGAGGTCGTCTGGGAGACCATATCTGCTGCTCGCAGCAAAGAAGCTGTTGATCTGGTATCCGAAACTGGCGTAGTAGGCATGCTCCATGACTGCCATCAACTGTATAGTGTTGTATCCCAGGCGCTGGATTCGTGGGAGAATATTTTGTGTAAACTCCTTGTATGTAGCAACCTTTGGCTCGGGCGAGGATATACCAACGTGAGCCTCGTAGATTCGCGCACTCTTGGGCTTTGGTGGGCGCTGGTTCTTCCATACATACTTCTGGGGAGGGTTCCAGAAGCGCGCATCGTATACGGGGGAGACGCTGAGGTCTTGGGTTACTCTGGTGATCCAGGCAGGGAGGCGCTCCTGGCGGGCGTGGTCATTGGGGGTTACAAATGAGACCTAGTTGTTTCTGTCAGTTGTGCGTTGGGCTGAGGATGCATAACCAATGTACCTTGATCTTGGAATCGTGAGGGATGGCAGGCTGGCCGTCCTTGTTAGGAAGCGTCACCTCGAAGACACCGAAGTCGTTCTTGGTCATGGGTGTCGCATCGCGGTCCCAGTTGTTGAAGTCGCCAATGAGGTAGGCACGCAGGGCATTGGGAGCCCATTCGCGGTATACGACATCGCCATTGGGCTGGACATTGAAGCCGAATTTTTCGAAACCCTGCAAGCGCCGTCAGTGACTGCGTGGCAGCGAGATGAACAAACTACGCACCCGCGAGAACTTTTCCAGGCCACCCTCTGTCTCGTCAATTGTCTTGATCCATTTCTGGGCCTTTGAGAAGCGGCTCTTGAGGGAGTCTTTGAAGGGCTCTAGATAGCCGTCGAGTTGGATGATGCCTGTGGATAGCCGTCAGATCAGTCAATTGCGCGGGGCATTGGCAGGGGCAGCGCGTACCGGTTCCATCATTGGGTATCTTGCCCGGTGCATCGCTCGTCGTCGAGTTTGCTGCAGCTTGGTTGAGCTCCATCGTGTGTGAGGTGGGATGGGGCGTTGTCAGGCGCGCAAAGTATCCAGGGAGGGGTTTGCTATGAAGGGCAAGACAGCGACAACGGACAGAGCAATTGCGCAGCTATTTAAAAGAGCAATGGCAAAAAACGAGGCTCATAGGCTATCTGCAGGAGAAATCATTTCCTTTTTGCGGGGTCATTAACCCGCTTCCAGCGCAGGGCAGGACTCAACGAAAGGGCGTTGACCCAACGACACAACGTCATAGCTCGCTGGCGGCTGGATGGGGCATCGCGCCCCCGCCACCTGTCCCAACAGTAGACATAGCATAATGCCCAGCGAGATGAGCGCACAATTCTCCGCTACTACTAACACTACTATAACACTACTGAAGGCGGGCGGAGGGGCGAGGGGCGAGGGCTAACTGCAACAGGCGTCGCGGAGGGCGTTGGCGGCTATGTTTCCACTGCGCGGCAACGAGTCCCTTATCGGCATCGGCTGCCGTGGGGAGCTTCCCCCGCATCTCAGCTCGACGTGGGGACACAAGCTCGCGGCTCAACCACGGTAACTGTCGCAGCCGCCTTGGGGCTATTGAATAGCGCTCGTGACTTCTGCTCTCTGTTCCAACTATATATACATAGACTCCTGTCATGTGAAGCCCTCGGCATGCCCTTCTCAGTCACGATGCTACTTTCCAGGCCGCTCCAGCGCGCCCTCCCCGCTGCTGTCTCGCCACAGGCACGCGCCTCCTACCTTGCTCTCTACAGCATCTCGCGCGCCACCCGCCTGCCACTGTCCCTGCCGTTGTCACATACCCGCAAGTCGTCGAGGTTTCATCGATCCGACTTTAGCGGCCAGGGCTTCTCTTCTTTCTACGAGCCAGACCAGCCAACCCGGGGCCCGCTGGGCGGCGCAAGCAGTGTAGGTGCCGGGGTCATCACGCCCAAGGTCCTGCGCCAGCATCTCGACCAATTCGTTGTCGACCAGGATCGCGCAAAGATAGTCCTGAGCGTGGCGGTCCATGAGCACCATCTGCGCATACAGGAGCTCAAGCGACAGCAGCAGGAGCAGGCGAGGTTGGAGGCCCAGGCCCAGAGGAGGGCGTCCGTCTTCCGCCATCCTGTAGAAGGTACACTACACCGAACCTTCACCTTGGCTCTGCTACCAACCTGATCACGCGACTAATAAATACAGTAGACGAGTTTCCGGGCCAGCAGTCTACCGTAGAATTGCACAATCATAATGACCCCCAATCCTTCAGCGAAGCCCCAGCCTATCGGCCGGCGTCGGACTCCCCGGCAGACCCTGACTCGTTAATTGACAACAGCGAACACCAGCTGCTGATAGAAAAGTCCAATGTGCTCATACTCGGTCCAACAGGTGTTGGCAAAACGCTCATGTGCAAGACACTGGCAAAGACACTGGGCCTGCCCATTTCCATGTCTGACTGCACCACCTTCACACAAGCTGGATACATTGGTGATGATGTGGAATCATGTGTAGCTCGTTTGTTCTCTGCTGCAAACTATGACATTGAAGCGACAGAGCATGGCATCATAGTACTGGATGAGATTGACAAGATTGCTGGCACAAAGATATCATACGGCAAGGACGTTGGTGGAGAGGGGGTCCAACAAGCCCTCCTCAAGATCATTGAGGGTACTACTGTGCAGGTGCAAGCCAAGCCAGAGAAGAGTGCCAACAGACCCGGTGGCACTGGTAGAATGGACACGCCTCAACCTCCTGGTCCAGGAGCAAGCAAGGGCGAGGTCTTCAACATCCGAACTGACAACATTCTCTTCATATGTACCGGCGCATTCTCGAACCTCCACAAGATCATCCTCGACCGGAAATCTAAAAGTGGCATGGGCTTCGGGGCGTCAATACGGTCATCCAGCGCACATGCGGCTGCTGATGGTACCATGTTGAGAGGTCCAGAGGCCGAGTTGTTCAAAAAGGACGCTCCCTTCTTTGTTCCACCAAAGTCAGAAGTGCCAAACCCCTTTGGCATCAGACAAGTCGTAAAGGAAGACAAGGTCAATGTGCTTGATCATGTGCAACCAGAAGACTTGCAGAAATTCGGCATGATACCTGAACTTATTGGCAGAATACCCACCGTTTGTGCGGTGGCAGCTCTAGACGAAGACGCCCTGGTTCGTGTACTCACTGAGCCCAAGGACAGCCTCATCCGGCAGGAGGAGCACAAGTCGTATCTTAGGAATATTGAGCTGCGCTTCACCACAGGAGCTCTGCGGGAAATTGCACGCAAAGCCAGCAAGATGGGTACTGGTGCTCGTGGGTTGCGACACATTGTTGATCAGCTTCTCCTACAAGCCAAGTACGAGACACCTGGTATGTATCGCTGCTGAACTGAGAACCAAGGGTAAATCGCTAACAAGACAACAGGATCAAGCGTCAAGCACATCCTCGTAACGCAAGACGTCGCCCTCCTCAAGCGCGCACCACTATACTTCCACCGAGGCCAATCCGCCGCCTTTGAAGCCACGCACGCACAAGAAGAAGAGAAATGGGAGGAAGAGCTTCGTCGCCACGAAGACCCATCGATCCTCATGGTCAACAACTTCCAAGAGTACAGGAAAGCTGGTGCTGCAGGCTTTTAGCCTATGCGAAACCACATGGGCTTTGTGTCACCCACCCGTTTGCATCTGCCGTGCATGGCGCATCTTTGGAACCATGCATGCTGTTATAGTCGATCTGCCTTCCCTCCGATAAGACCCAGACGGCTTCGGCCCGTTGCCAGCGCTCCGGGGTAAGGAAGAGCCAAGCGTTTCGGCTTCGTGAGTGGTGTGTGTGGTGAGTCGTTGTAGTCAGTCGCCATACCTTCTCCATTACGGTTTTTAGCATGGCTTTCAGTAGTCTTGTGATGGTCCTTTTTTCGCATTTTTATTTTCATGTCGATTTTTTTCATTGGATGGGCTTTTTTTGGCAAAGCTTTTTTTCCATGCCGTTATGTATCAACGAGTCCCTTGTTTGCATTGGTGGATACCGAAATCGTTTTGGAATTCAGCTACTAGGAGTTACTTTATTCTGCCCGGTCAGATATGAGTTATGGGAAAGTTTATCTGATGAATATATGGATATACATATTACACACACCAGGTTCACCCTCTGTTATCAATTCTTGAAGCCCCGTTCTCTCTCTTCATCTAATACCTTCGCCGTCCCTCCCTCCCGTCTTACCCTCTTCCACCCTTATCCACACTCGCCGTCCCTCCCCGTCTTACCCTCTCCCCCCTTTACTACAACCGCTTGTCTCGATTCCCCCAGGAAAGTTCCAACTCAATCAAATCCGGCAACTACATGCCCCCCGATATCTCACTTCCCTAAAAACTTACGTCACTCACGCATGTGCATACTCACATCCCCAAACCCTAACCTTCTTCCCCCCGCAGAAACAAAAGTCCCCATCAAGCACAAATCTCCGATCATACATACATTCATAACAGAAAAGCTGCGGTCATACATACATACATGCAGACATAGCCATCTGCAACCTATACAGGTTACTCACACCGATCGGTACTTCCCGCGGATGTACCCCTTCAAACTCTAATTTCCCCCCCCCCTCCCTTTTGCGCAGCCCAATCACTTTCAAGCGCAAACTGGGAAGGCATTCGCCTCATTTCGCAACGACGACGTACGCGAAAAAAGTTGGCATTATGGCGGTGGGAGAGGGGGGGGGGAAAGGTTGAGGGAAAAAAACGCGTAATAAGCCCAGATCATGTGATAGACAATACATGAAGTGGCGGGGGAAAAGGCAGAGAGAGGGGTAAAAGGGAGGGGGTGGGCAGCGAGCACAAAAAAACGACGCTTATGTAGCTAAGAGGGCGGTGTTGGGAAGGGGGGGCTAGAGTTTGCACGTGTGTATATTTCAGATAGTTCTTGTGTGCGGGCAAGGGCGAAAGGATGAAAGGGGGGAAAGTACTAATAAGTGAGGAGAGAGTTAGTTTGATAAAAGTATATTGCTTAACATTTCTTCTTTCCTTCATTCTTCAAGGTTGGGTATATATACACGCAAGTTAAGGTGTGCGGGAAGAGGAATGATAAAGAAGTGAAGAAGCATACATTATAGTCTACATACAAGGGAAAACGAACAGTGAAAAAGATGGCCCTTGTTGGGTCGATAGTAAAGTAAAGGCAGCGTGAAACGGAAGAGTCCGGGAAGGCGAAAAATAACGGAGGGGGGGGGGGTATCGTCTTACTGAATCGACTGACTAAAAAAAC